GTGAAGCCATGGAAGTAACAGGTCCGAAGTAAATGTTTGTTCATTCATTCACCTGCTTCGTTAAGATACTGGATAAACAGACGGACTTGAGTCAGTGAAAACTTCTTGTTTCTCTCTTTAGAAAGAAGGCAGACATTTTTATTAAATAGATTTTTCCATTTTTCTTGTCATCTCTCAAAAGATGTGTGTTTAACTATTTTCCACTCCACTCAGCACTGTTTGGCCTTATAACGGAACAAAATAAGTCAGGTTTGTTGGCATGGGCGTTGTCAGGCAGTGCGACCAAGGAGCTTCGATTTGTCTTCCTCATCAGGTATCCTGACTTCTGTTCTGCATGATGAGATCAAGAACAAGCTATGAACATGAGTTTAGCGTTTTTATTTCTCTCAGGAAACCACTTTTCCACTTGTTCCAGCCAAAGGCTGTGCTGATCAAGCACCCCTTAGCTGTCAGTCAGCCTTGATGACCAGGATCAGTGGCGGTATGGCATTGTTGACCTAGAAAAATCGTTATTTTACCAGCAAAGAATTGTAATTCCGAATATTAGGTCTAATGGCAAAACCATAGGCAAGTCTGGAGAACCAAGAAGAGGATCGTTCTTTTTATAGAGGGAAGTGGGAGTTGGGAGGGCCTGTTACAGAGTCCATTGGAGGAAATTGGGAGTTTCAGCTTTTCATTGGCTGAGTTGTGACAATCTCTCATTGGCTGGGCTGTTGCCAGGCAAGGAGAAAATCTTCCTTCCTCCTGCTAGGGTAGTCAAATAGAAAACATCTTCTTATTGGAGATGCAAGGTTTGTCTTTTCCTCTTTGGGGTAATTGAGGATGAGTGGTAGAGCCTGAGAGCTCCCCCTACAAGTGCTCCAACTGTAATTGAGGTTTCCTTTATTAATTTTCAGAGCATCAACCCCCTTTTCCTGACCCTTGTTGCCTGAACTTGAATTGCGATTACTGATAGGAGCCAAGAGCATTGTTTTATGTAGCAAGTGTTCCCAAAATTCCAGTTTATTACTCTCCGTTAAATACAGTTGGAGGCCTTTGAAGATCAGGCCTCCAAAGAGATGAGATTTATACATAACACACGTCCCTCAACCTGGGATTCTCGGCTTCCTCATCTGCAGGTTGAGAGTGTGGCGAGCAGACTCCCCATAAGAAGCCTCCTTCTAACTCTCGGAAGGTCGTGACCCTCGGTTTCGATCAGCACTGCCCTTACAGACCGAGTGCTTCAGCGCGGCACCCCAGAGTTATGGGTTGCAGCCCTACCCCCACAGCCCCTGCCTTCCAGAAACCCACAGGCCCAGGTGCCCCCGACATGCCAAGCAGTCATGAGCCCCACTTACAACAAACACACGGAGATCCTGGGTGTGGGGGCATGGATCAGAAGTAACTGGGGCAGCATTTTCTCAGAAACATTTTAATCTGGACACTAACTCGAAGGCACTTGAACTGAGGCTCCTCAAACATGCCCTGTATTTATTTTCAATGAGACATGATCATGAAAGGGCTGAGGATGGCAGAGGGGAGCTAAGCCCCGACTTGAAGAACGCGGAAGCTGCTGGAGAGGGGAGGTGGGGGGCGGAGCCAGTGGTCAGCTGGGGCACCAATGGGGCCTCCTGGGGGACAGCCCACACTACAGCCAGCCCCGACGTGGGCCTTTTTACATGTACTTCCCGGCCTCAGGAGCTTCCCTGGGGGGCTCTCATGGAGTGTCGTTGGGTTGTGCAGTTTCAGCAGCCAGAACCCCAGGAAAGCGGCGGCAGCGGGAGGGGGGGCGGGGGGAGCACAATGGGGGGCACTCTGAGGGCTCTGGGCAGGCGCCTTGGGAGGGTGCCTCCGTGGGGTCTCCCCAGCAGGAAAGGCGGCGATGCACCCAAAGGGACCTCCGGGGTATGGGGAGTGACAGGAGGGTGGTGGTGGACCCCCCACTGGACACATGGGGGGGGGCGCAAAGACCCCCCCGCCACAGTGGGGTCTGCGATGTCGGAGAGGCCTGTAAGGCGGCGTCACCGGATCCACCAGAGGCCACGGGCGCGCGGATCCCACGTGCCGCCCGGAACCGCAGGAGGCGGTATAGACCCAGCCACGCGCGGCCTGGGCGGGATGGCGCGGGCGCGGGGGCGCAGACGGCTCCTGGCGCGCAGAGACCGGCGGAGACTGGGTGAGACGGCTGTGCGCGGGGCGGTGGAGGTCTGGGTCGGGTCAGGGTCAGGGTCTGGGTCGGGTCAGAGTCTATGTGGGGCCGGGCGGGGTGCGTTGGGACGCAGGGCCGCCCCGCAGGCGGAGGCCCCGGGCTTGGAAGGGACTGGCCACCTCCCTGAAGGGTCTCTGGACTCCCAGGGTCCCCAGACCACACGGTGAGAACTGCGGTCTGTGGTGTAAATTGAATGGTCACTGAATGCCAAGTCCTGGGGGAAGTTATGAAAGAAATAAAAAATCAAGCCGGATAATCTTGACATTAAAATGAGAACATAAGTATGTTCATTCAGTTCAGTGTGTGAAACTAAGGAAGGACAAATGGAGACATGAGTGCACCAAAGCTACAGAACAGCACACACACACACACACACACACACACACACACTCATACACTCTTACACACACACACACTCTCACACTCTTACACACACACACACTCACACACGACACTCGCAACACACACCACCTCAGACACGCTCACACACCACACTCACACGCCATCACACACACATCACACACAAACCCACGCAGACACGCACACACACAGCAGACACGCACACACACACACTCTCACACATACACACACTCACACACACACTCACTCACACACACACACTCACACACAGTCACACTCACACACACTCACACTCTCACACACACACACTCATACACTCTCACACACACACTCACACACACACTCAGACACGCACACACACACACACTCACACACACACTCACACACACACTCACACACACTCACACTCTCACACACACACACACACAGACACACACACACACACACACACGCACGCATGCTCTAGGTCTCAGAGTGTGTGCGTGGGGGTCTACCTTTGACGGACCCAGGCAGCTATGACCCCAAATCGCACCCCTGCCATGGCTCTGGAGACCACCCTCCCAGCGCTGCCAGGTTGCTGGGGAGTTTGGGATGACCAGAGGCCTGTGGGGCCCAGGGGAGAGGGTGGCCGAGAGGAGGGGAGGCTTGGTGGGGGAACCTTGAAAGGAAGGGCAGGCTAGAGCTATTGGGGAAGCTCCTCCAGGTTCAGATGGGACACAGGTTGTCCCCCCAGTGCCGATGAAGGATGCTGAGACAGCTGGCAGAATGCGCCCCGTCAGGGCTCCCAGCAGGCCTCTGGCAGGAATGGTACCAGGTGGGGCAGCTTTCCTGTGCGGCATTGGCTAAGCTGAGCTCTAGATGTGCTCCCAGGGCCCAGAGACTTTCAAAGCTTCACACACCTGTTCCGCTCTATCATTTTAATGGATTTATTGTTGTTGTTTTTTGATAACAGACTTTAATGAAGTATAATTTATATGCAGTAAAGTACACAATTCCTAAAGGAATATTGCTCGGTACCGTTTTGCATAGGATTCTTGTGTCCTCGCTGCCCAGGCAAAGACAAGGAGCTTTTCACCTCACCAGTGAGTTTTCCCATGCGCCTTCCCACTGAATAGCTTTCCACCCTTATGCTCACAGTAAACTACTGTTCTGTCCTCTGTTGCCATAGATCAGTTTTGTTGGTTCTGGAACTTCATCTACATGGAGACTAAACAACATGCTACTAAACAATCAATGGATCAAAGAAGAAATCAAACAAGAGATCAAAAGTCCCTTGAGACAAATGAAAATGAAAATACAACCTTCCAAAATCTATGGGATGCAGCAAAAGCAGTTCTAAGAGGGAAGTTCATAGTTTTACATGCCTACCTTCAGAAACAAGAAAATAATTTCAAATAAACTGCCTAACTTTACACCTAAAGGAACTAGAAATAGAGCAAACCAAACCTAAAATAAGTGGAAGGAAAGAAATAACAAAGGTCAGAGTGGAAATAAATGAAACAGAGAATTAAAAAGCAGTAGAAAAGATCAATGAAACTAAGAGCTAGTTCTTTGGAAGAATAAATAATATTGACAAATCTCTAGCCAGACTCATCACAATAAAAAGAGAGCACAAATAAATAAAGTCAGAAAGAGGAGAGATTTCAACACAGTAATACAAATGATCATTAAAGAATACTATGGATAATTATATGCCAACAAATTGGACAACCTGGAAGAAGTGGATAAATTCCTAGGAACATACAACCTTCTAGGACTGAACCAGGAAGAAACAGAAAATCTTATCAGACTGATTACTAGCAAATGAAATTAAGGCAGTAATAAAAAAAATCTACCAATAGCCCTAGCTGGTTTGGCTCAGTGGATAGAGCATCGGCCTGCAGACTGAAAGGTCCCAGGTTTGATTCCAGTCAAGGGCATGTACCTCAGTTACAAACTCAATTCCCGGTCCTGGTCAGGGCAGCCAAATTGATGTTTCTCTCTCTCTTCCACTCTCACTAAAAACCAATGGAGAAATATCCTTGGGTGAGGAGTAACAACAGCAAAATCTAACAAAGCAAGCCCTGGACCAGATGGCTTCACAGGTGACTTTTACCAAAAATTCAAAGAAGAATTAATACCCACCCTTCTCAAACTATTCCAAAACATTGAAGAAAAGGAATGCTTTCTTCAAACACCTGCCTGACCCCCACCCTGGCACCCCCTGGCCTCTGTAGGAACAAGAGGACCTGCAGACCTGACACTGACCATGGGGCCTGGGGCGTTGTCCTTTCCCCATATTTTCTAATCACCCCCTCCTCACTCGCCCCCCCCCCCCTCCACACACTCACACTGTAAAGAAGAAAGCAGGAAGTGGTGTACCCGCTGGGTTCTGGCAAAGCAGTGGGCAGAGACTGGTCTGCGAGAAGCAAAGAGCCCCACCGAGGCCCAGGGCCACTGGGAGCTCCGTTTTGAAGTTTGAAAGGCTCACACCATCTTACCTTTGCAGCCACTTCCCCTGTGAGACATTAAATTGGGGGCTGGGTCCATGAACCATTAGGGGAACAGAGTCCCCCTCCAGAACAAACCTTGCTCATTCTCTCTGGCCCCCAGGTGCTGGGCAGAGAGCAGGGTCCTCAGGGGCTGCTGCATGGGAGCTGGTTGGGCTCTACCCAGCGCACCTGCCAGGCAGCCGGGCACTTCCCTGGGCCGCACCTGCCTGGCCTGGTGTCTGCCTTTTGCCCGCCCTCCCCCGCCACCTGGCCCAGGGCGTGCTGCCTGGTCCTCCGCCCTGGCCCTGGCATGTGGGAAGTCCCCAGTCACCTGGCAGCTGCTGCCTGAGGCCAGGAGGGCAGGGAGCAGCACCTGGAAGATGAACCTGAAGGCTGCCGGTGAGTGTCACCTCCACCGCCAGAGGAGGAAAAGGGGCCACTGTCCCGGGAAGAAGTGCCCCCTCTCTGTCCCAGGGACCACCCGCTGAGCCAGAGGGTGGGCCCTGTCCTCTCTCTGACCTGGGACCGGAATGTGGGAAGCCGCAGAGGGAATAGGCTGGGGTGCGGAGCAGGCAGCCCTGGGCTCCCCCCTGCCTGTCCCCACTGGCCCCCTGGAATTCCTGGCAGGGGGACCAGTGAGGGTGATGTTTGGACTGGAAAGTAGGTTTGGGAGAGTGCAGACAGAGTGGGACTCAAGGAGCTGGGGTGGGGGTCCTTCCAGGGGAGAGCCTGCGGGATGCCCCACCCCCACCCCCTGGGCCAGCATGGGGGCTGCCAGCTGCAGGTCAGAGGCACTCGGGGACTTCCCCTTGGGCTCCCCTGCTGAGCCAGGAGTCTTCAGCCACACGTCCAATGAGGGGGCAGTGAGGTGAGTGAGAAGTGGGGTCTGGTTCGCAGGGGACGCCCACTGTCCCGGGTTCTAACTGTCCGGCAGCAGCTTTTAGAGGCTGGTTTTATTTTTCCATTTATCAAGCTACTTGAGATGGTGGGATGTTTGGGGAAAAAATAGGAAAGAAGAAAGGAAAAAGGCAATTATTTCCTCGGTCATGTTCTCTCTGAAAGCCTGTCTTTCTGCCGTGGCCTCTGCCCTCTGCCGCGAGCCGGCCTGGGGTCAGTGGGAACCGCCCGCCCCTCGCACACAGCCTTCCTCCTGCCGGTGCTGCTTTCCTTCTGTCGCCAAGGAGTCTGGGTTCTGCCTGGAGCGAGGCAGCGTATCTGTGCAGGAATGGAAAGTTCTCGGCCGCTGTGAGGGCACCCCCCGCCTCGCCGGCCATTCGGTGTGGGTCAGACCCGCACTTCCATCCAGTGTGGTCACGTCCACAAAGTTCTAAACACCACCTTTCTGCTCTGTTCCCAAAGTGCCGGACAGCCACATGTTAGGGTTTTTTAATTGACGGTGTAAAACAGTCCTGTTTCCTACAAAGCCATGTATTTAAGAACTGTTGTAGGTAACGTGTGGGATCGTAGGCTAAACAGGCGGAGATATGTATCTTTTCGGGGGAGAAAACGCCTCCCTCGGGCACTGAATTTCAGTAGCGCGATCTTGGGAGAATTTTTCACTTTCTCTGTTACATACTTAGAACATCATTTTGCTGCTTAGTTAGTAGAAAATGCTGAATATGGTCCCATGGCCCCCCCTGCCCCGCCCCCCACCTCCTGATTCACTCCTGAGCTGTGAGGTCCTTGCAGGGCAAGCTTTGCTGCAGCTCCCGGGGTGTGTTTGTCTGGGGGTGGGGGATGGTGGGAGAAAAGTCACCTGCAGAAACTCAGAGCCGTGTCGCCGCTGAGTTTGTGAGCTAATGTTTGGCAAAGTTCCTGGAAGCGGTGTTTCGGTGGATCCATCCAGCGCCAGTTCTGGCCCGGGAGACAGCTCATGGGCAGGACGGGCAGGGTCAGTGGATGGCATCCGAGCCAGCCCCCTCCGCCTGTGACACACACCCTCCCGCCTCCTCAGGATTAGGTCAGCGTGTCAGCCTTTGCAGGTGGGTTGCCTGGCACATCTGCTGTGGCATCCCGGTGTGGCATTCCCCAGCCTTAGGACAGTGGCGACAGCAGAGCCCGGAGCCACAAAGCAGCCAAGTCCCAAGTACGGTCCATCCACCCCTCAGCCCTCCTGGCCCCTCAAGGACAAGAGGTAGAGGTGGGGCCACCTCCAGGGTGAGGGCATGTGGTTTGTGTCCTCGATTGAAGGAATTCCACGTTGGCGGTGGTTTCAGAGGTGCTCTCCCTGGGCCCTGGGACTGGAGGGGTGCAGCGGCCTGAGGTCCCCCCGCCTGGAGTCGGTTTGAGGATCGCCTTCTTCCCCAGGGCCAGCCTGAGACCCCTGGGAGCCTGCAGGCGGGTGAGGGTGGGACACGCACACAGGCACACACACATATGCACACGCAGGCATGCACACAGGCACACATACTAATCGTGGGTCTCCAGGAGGAAGTTCCCCGACTTCCTGCCCGCGCTCCAGACTGGCCTTTGCTCTGAGGTGGAAGCACGTGAGAGGCCGTGTCTGATAGCCGGTGATGACTTTATTACCTTCGGGAAAAGGTTGGATCCTAGTTCCGGAATCACCCAAGGTTCCTGGACTTTGTGTACTTCCTCCCCCTGCTCCGCCTCTGAAGCTGCTGGACCACTCCCACCAGGGCAGGCCCACTGGGACCAGGACCCCCCTTTGCTGAGTCCCTGGACTTCCACCTTTCCCAAGACCGATCCTTACCTGTGCCGGCCCAGGGGCTACTGCTGCCCAGTGTCCCGCCTGCTCTGCGTTCACCTGCAGGGACTGAGCTCCTGGTGCAGCTGTTGGCCCATGAACAGGCTGGGCCACGGGCAGGCTGGGCTAGGGGCAGGCTGGGCTAGGGGCGGGCTGGATCAGGGGCAGGCTGGGCCACAGGCAGGCTGGGCCTCGGTCAGGCTGGGCCACAGGCAGGCTGGGCTAGGGGCAGGCTGAGCCTCGGGCAGGCTGGGCTAGGGGCAGGCTGGGCCACAGGCAGGCTGGGCCAGGGGCAGGCTGGGCCACGGGCAGGCTGGGCCAGGGGCAGGCTGGGCCACGGGCAGGCTGGGCTAGGGGCAGGCTGGGCCACAGGCAGGCTGGGCTAGGGGCAGGCTGAGCTAGGGGCAGGCTGGGCCACAGGCAGGCTGGGCTAGGGGCAGGCTGAGCTAGGGGCAGGCTGGGCCATGGGCAGGCTGGGCTAGGGGCAGGCTGGGCCACAGGCAGGCTGGGCTAGGGGCAGGCTGGGCCATGGGCAGGATGGGCCATGGTTCTCCAGGTGCCTCTGTCCCTCACCTCCTGGCTCCTACGCCTGCCTCTGTTTGGCGTCCCGGATGCTCCCGTGACTGTGTTAGACCTGTGCCTGGGTTACAGATGGCTCAGCACCAGCCAGTGCCCATCCTCGCTGCAGGACCTGCCCTCCCACATGGGGTGGCTCTGGTCTAGGTCTTGGCTCCCCCAGCCACCACAGGAAGCCAGGCTGTCCCAGCCCTGAGGCCATCCTGGCTCCCCTTTCCCAGCCCGCAGACACCCACAGCCTTCCTAGGAGCCCTGGGAAGTGCGCAGGGAGGGGAGCTCACCACCTTGCAGGCGGCCAGCCCTGGATTTCAGTTCCACTGGTAAGGACTGCGGGCTTCTCCTTCATGCTTCGTTTCGCTACCTGTTACTTCCATCTACTGTCCTTGTTCAGCCGGTGACAGGGCTGTGTCTTCCTTCCGTGTGCCTGCTCTTCACACATCTGAGAGTAGCGTCAAGTTCCTTTCAGCTTCTCCAAGCCAAACAGCAAGTCTTTGCTCGAAGACCTCCTGTGACCGGCAGGTCCTCTGACTGGCCTCTGGCTGGCCAATGGCCTTCTTCAAATATGACACTTGGATGAAGGGGTCCAGCTGTGACTTACGCAGCGGCTATTGTTTCCACTGAACCTCACCATTGAGGCTGACTCTGGGACTCCAGCGGTCACCCACCAACAGCACTTTCCAGAACATTCTGTGGGCCATGCACCGTCCTGGGTGTGAGGGCACAGTCCTGGAGGGAGGGGGGCCCTTGGTGTGCCACACCAACAAGGTGTGTGAATGGCTGCCATGAGGGCGCCCGTGCAGGCCACGGGGCTGCACCAGAGTGGGGCTCCTGGCAGGTTGGGAGAGCCTGGATGAGGAGGAGGGGGGTGGGTCGATGGGTTGGGATCCGTGCAGGAGCGCGTCCTGAAGCAGAGGACAGGCGCCGACAAAGCCATACAGCAGGAGAGGGCACACACAGCCGCAGCGGGTCACCGCGCCTGCCACAGCGCCAACAGGATTCCAGGAAAGCGACCTCCAGACCCAGGGCTCCCCTCTGCTTTCTGCAGCTGCTTTTTCCAGCTGTGAGACGCCCCCCAAGTCCGAGAAACGGCAGTGGCCACACGGTCCAGGGATTTCGCATGAGGAAGCCCTCCCTGCGTAACGTTCTAACAATCTTGGGGGCTGCGTGGTTTGGAAAATAGAAAAAAGCATTGATGCTGAAATACGCACTCGGAAAAAGACCGAACCGTCGAGGGGAAATGGAAGCGTCCAGCTCCGTGGGCGCCGCTGCCTGAGCTAGTGAGCCCACAAGCGCATACAGACTCCATCAGACACAGCAGCGGGGGGACCACCGCCGCGCCCAGGGAAGGGGAGACCTGCAGGTGCAGGCAACGGCGGAGCTGAGGTCAGGGCTGAGCTCAGACAGTGACAGACGCAGGTTTGCGTGTCGTCACCGCCTGGAGAGGAGGAAGCCTGGGGGGGGGGGTGTGCTGGCGGGTTGGAGGCCTGCTTCTGTCAATGCCTGTGAACTTGGAAAAGGGGGGCTGGGAGAACTGCCCACCTGTCCCTGCTCAGGGTGCTGGGTGGGGAGACACCAAGCCCCTGACAGCATCCAGGTGTCCCACAATTCAGTGCAGCTCTGACACTGACCCCCAGCAGTTAGTGCAGACCCTGCGGGTCAGGAGGGCAGCCCCTACCGGCCGCCCTCTCTCCAGCCGCCAGCCACAAGCCTGGAGGCCGCCCGCATGTGCCGCTGGCCAGCTATGACCTGGGGAGTTCCCACAACTCCTCTAGGCTCCATCGTTCGCTAGAACAACTGGCGGAGCTGGCCGGTGCAGTGCAGGTGGGACAGTGCGTGTGGAATGGAGGGCCAGCCCCAGAGAGCTGACGCCTGCCCCCACCCGTCCACTGAGCCGGGCAAGACGGGCCCCATGTCAGGTGTGGTGGCTCCCAAGGCCACTTGAGGAATCGATGACGTTAGCCTCTGGGGAAGTTCTGAGACCCAAACCAGCAGTGAACATAAAAGCACGGCCTGGAAAACACTCATATCTTGTTCGTGTGTCTGCGTCTGTCTACCTCAAATGCCTGCCCCCAGCAAAGCCTACTAAGTCGTCATGCGTGTTGGTTCATTAAAGCAGCCCTGGGCCCTCGTCTGCCCCCACCTCCCAGGAGCACCCTGCTGACTCCCATGGGGGGGAGGGGCTAGGAGAGTGGGGGGGCAGGGCTGCCTGGTGGCCGCTGTCCTGAGCATCCACACCCGCATGTCTGTCCGCAGGCGCCCTGAGAGCCGTGCTCTTCATCTTCGCCTCCGTGTGCGCCTGGTACTCCGGGTACCTGCTGGCACAGCTCGTCCCAGACGTGCCCCTGTCCAGTGCCATCTACAGCATCCGGAGCATCGGGGAGAGGCCCGTCCTCAAAGGTCAGTGTCCGGGTCACAGCCCACTAGTAGCTGCGCCGGGCTCCGGGTTGGCAGTGGGTTCTGGCCATTTTACGTTGGTGACGATGACGAGGGGGAGGAGATAACATCTTCCATTTCCTTCCTTTCCAACCCCCCACTCACCCCATGTTAGGGAAACAAACAGAAAAACTTCACGTGCAGGCTGTGTTAAATAAAAATGTGTTTGTTTGGAATACAACTCAAATTGGGAATGAGGTGAAATGACCAAATAGCCATGAAAAATGACATTTGGTAATGTGTGGACACTAAGAATAATCTGCACTCCTTTTCAAGATCTTGTGAACAGATATGCTGGTATATTTTCAATGCGGGAGTAAATTATTAAAAATCAATTTGCACAAATATAGAGAACTGAGTAATGATAAACTATTTTTATAAAAGCCATTCCTTCGCAGATTGAATTACCTTTTATGGAACACCAAACAAACAAAAAAACCACTTTCTAGGAATCGACTGTGACAGGGTTGCCTGTATTTGATAAGGTTTTCACAGTGAACTTGCCCGGAATCAGTAGACTAACTGCGTGCAGCCTGAGGTGGGGCCCAGCTCCACGGGAGCCGCAGCTTGAGCAGAGCACGGGAGCCGCCCTCAGGGGGCTCGCTCTCTCATTTTCCCTATTTCCCCACAAAATCAGGAGTCTCTCCTGGACACAGCTTCCCCTAGGAGCTGCCTCTGACGCCGGGCGTTTCGAAGGGCTCGTTGCCATGGTTTCTGTCTCCCTCCATCGCATGCCAAGGATGTCAGTTGAATAGCCAGCCATAGGCAGTGATTCCCAACTCTTAAACTTGTTCCACCTGCAAAACATCCCCTCCCTTTTGTATATTTGTTATTTTAAGACAAAAGCAGATTAAATTAACTTCGTGACTTTAAGGGACTCTCTGAAGCTCCTATTGGTGGCCACCATTCCTATTGGTGACCCCTTCCCCACTCCTGTTTCTGCCCACGACCTTGGGCCATGCAGGTGTGAGTCCTAGGGCAGAGTACCGTTGTTCTTGGCCAAACAGCGGGCCCCTCCGATAAATCATCGCACGACCTGTTATGTTCTTGTTCATTACAGCCCCGGCCCCCAAGAGGCAAAAATGCGACCACTGGTCCCCGTGCCCCCCGAACACCTACGCTTACAGGTTGCTCAGCGGCGGGGGCAGGGACAAGTACGCCAAAATCTGCTTTGAGGATGAGCTGTAAGTAGCAACGAGAGGAAGGAAAACAGAGCCTCCTGATCCTTTCCCTTCTCAGGCTGACGAAGCAGCCAGTCTGCCCCCAGCAGAGAAGGGCACGTCCTTGACCCTGGGCAAAGGCTGGGAGCAACTGGGCACTGAGAATGCCAGCTGTGCTCCCCGGGAGGATGTGGACTGAGGCTGTGTCCCAGTGTTGAACTCTCATCTGGCAGCAGGTCAGACAAGCCTTAGCTCATACTCCGTGGCCTTCTCTGAACACGTGTCATGGCCCTTCCAAGTCATGGGAACAGAACGCAGGTTTTCTTCCATTTTGTTATATGATCCTCATGGATTAAGGCAGGTGTGGCTTCCCTTTTCAGCCCACACCTCCTGGTTGCAGGTCTGTGTGACCACCTTGCCCACGAGAGAGCCTAAGTAAACCCTGAGCTTGGAGCTGTCCTAGCCTCAGGTGCACTCTCCCACCGGGGCGGGGCTGCCACAACAAAGAGCACAGGCTGGTGCCCAAACAACAGGAATGTGTCTCTCCCCAGTCAGCAGGCTGGAGTCCAAGATGGAGGAGTGGGCAGGGCTGGCTCCTTGTGAGGGTGGAGGGAGTACCTGCTCCAGGCCCCTGCACTGGGCTGTAGGTGGTGGTCTTTTCCCGTGTCTGCATCATGTCCCTCTGTGTATCTGGGTCCAAATTTCCCCTTTTAAAAAGGACTCTGTTCGTACTGGTCACTGATATGGGGCGATCTCTATTGCACTGCAGGCGGCCAGGCTGCTCTTGAGGCTGGCGCAGCTGGCACCGGGCACCAGGCATCCCTCTCCACCATCAGCCTGGGGTGACCTTTGCCTCCCTCTCTGGAGTTGCAGCCCCCATTCCCAGAATACACATCTCACTTTCTCAGTTTCCTCCCATGTTTTGCTGGAGCACGTCCTCTATTAACATCCCGAGAAAAGGGTAGAAGGAGAGGTAAAGTTTTTAAAGATTCTTCATGTTTAAAATATAGTCATTCCCCCTCACAATGAAGGAATAGTTTGTCTGAGTATACATTCCTAAATTAGAAATGATCTCTACTTCGAATTTTGAGGTCATTGCCTGGAACCATAGTTAGCCTCCGACCGGCAATGTTCGAGTGTGGTAACCAACCGTGGGAATGCGCTTCTCAGGTCTCCAGACCCAGAGGCCCCATAGCTGCATTCTGAAATTTATAGCACGTTTGCTTGAGGCCATGCTTCCATAGGCTGCTCCGGTGATTAAGCATTGCAGTTCAATTCCCAGTCAGCGCACATGCCCAGGTTGCCGGCTCGGTCCCCAGTGGGTGGTGTGCAGGAGGCAGGCAATCGGTGATTCTCTCTCATCATTGATGTTTCTACCTCTCTCTCCCTCTCCCTTCCTCTCTCTGAAATCAATAAAAACATTGTATATAATAAAAGCCCAGCGACCCAACAGCGGAACGACCGGAATGACCAATCGACCAGTCGCTATGACGCACACTGACCAGCAGGGGACAGATGCTCAATGCAGGAGTTGCCCCCTGGTGGTCAGTGCGCTCCCACAGTGGGAGTGCTGCTCAGCTGACCAGGATGAGCGGCACTCCCACAGCAGCTTATTCCCACAGGCCACGCCCCCCACCATGCACCGGGCCTCTAGTATTTAAATAAAACATAATATAAAAAGTATTTATGACACTTGTTGATGATGGTAGGGCAGACTTTATTCAAGGTGGGCCATGGCACCCACTGCAGGGACCTCTGCAGCGGGGTCTTGCAGTGGGAGGGAGAGAATGGACTTAACTCTGAACACAGTAAGTGGGAATCATAGCCAAAGAGCAGGGTGAGGTCAGTGAACAGGAAATTACTAAGAGGAACGAAGCACCTGGGTGGAGGGAATCCTGGCTAAACTAATCTAGCAGGTTCCTTGCTGAAGGTGGGCTCAGGAGGTCAGAAACCACCAGGGTGGGGAGTGGGGGATGAGGAGCCCAATCAATAAGGAAGGTGATCAGATATCAAAGGCGGGGCGTTCTAGTTAACCCGACTTAGCAGAATTCTTGCTAAAGCTGGACAATGCAGAGATAAACGCGGAAGTCCAAAAGTTAGGCCTCGTTGAAAAAGAGCTCTGGGGAGCCGGAGTAGGGTTTGGTGAAGGAGAGAGTCTACCGGCACCGGGGTCCCAGGCGGGCCCATCCCTGGAAGACAAGCACCAGGGGGCCCTGGCCTTGCTGAGCTCTCCGGAGACTGCAGGGCGGCCTGGTCCACCCAAGCTGCTTCCCTCTTGTCTTCACTTCGGCTCGGACTTGCAATGTGGTCTGACCGGCTCTCCCCAGTTCCCCGCCCTCCCCTTCTTCCCTTGGAGGCCTTTCCCCTAATGAAGGCTCTTGTGCGCTCAGTCCTGCTCTGCTCCCTGCTTCTCAGAGGACTCAGAGTAGCCTTGACGAGCATGGCTGTTTCCCCGCCGTCTGTCCAAACACAACATGTGGGCAAATACTTTGACAGTTGCCATTGTGTGAGACGAAACTCGGGTTTCAGGTCAGATTTTTACTTTGTTATTGCTCTTGCCATGAGTGAATTGAGGATCTCTTTATGCTGAGTCCTCGTGTTTATTTTTTTATGAACTCTCTTTTCATATCTCTTGGCCATTTTTATTGATTTATAAGATCCTTTATATATTGGTGTTGTAAAGACTTTCTCTATATTTTGTCTTTACATTTATTAAAAGGGCATTTTTAAACATGCCTGTACCTTAGTTAATGTATGACCTTTAGCAAAACAAAGAAACTGTAGCCATAGAGTAAAAGCAAAATTTTAAAGAGCAACAAAAAACATCTCTCATGGCCCACCCCTTCCCTTCAGATGAATAAAGCCGAACAATGAACGCTCACGAGGTGGTTGAGGACCCGGTGGAAGAAAAAAAGTTTGTAAAAAGCCTGTGCTAAACAAATCTGAGATTGTCCTCTCCCTGGCCATTTGTCTAAATTATAAGATTCAGTGCAGCTTCCAGGTTCCCTGAGGGACTTGGGGAAGATGTGTGTGGAGGTGACTGTCAGGGCAAGTCAGTGAGGGAGGGAGTGCGGTAGGTGGCAATGGTATTGGCAGTGACTGTCTGTCAGTGACAGTGGTAGTGGCAGCGACTGCCAGGAGAAGATCTTGGGTGGGGAGGGGGGGCGGGAGGGGGGAAAGCTTCCCCTGGGCTTGGTAAGAAAGGAGTCCTTTGACTAATGTTTATTTACATTTCAGGCTCATAGGAGAAAAGATTGGAAATGTTGGGAGAGGAATAAATATTGCCATTGTCAATTGTAAGTTATTAAATATTTTCTTTAAAGCTTTTCTAAAGACTCTGATGGGATCTTTCCCAGATACCTTGGGTTTTCGATGGTTTTTGCACTCAGTCTAGTCTAGGTTTATATTTTGATGAATTTTTAAAATTATATATTTATTTTTCCAACGCCTCACTTTACAGATTATTTGTAGTTCCAAAGAACACACAATGAAGCCAAATATAGATTTTTAAGACAAAACCAGGGGGACTGGCAGAGGCGGTGAGACCAGAGGAGCAGACCTGGGCCCCACCTTTGGCTCTCAGATTCCTGGTGGCCCAGCAGAAGGCGACACATCTGCCAGTTCCTGCCTCTGTGTGATAGAAGGGACGAGGGCCTCCAGGGAAGCCAAGCTCGGCCTCCCCTTAGGCCTGGGAAAGATGACCGCCACTGGGGACCCTGACGATCGCAGGTTTGGGGTGTCTCTGAAAGCAAGCTGAGCACGTGGTCCAGTGACAGGGGGGGCTGCAGGAACCCAAGGTGCCCAGAGTGGTGATCTGGAGGGGAGCCTGCAGCCCACAGCAGAGAGCCCTGGGGCGGGAACTCTGGGGTCTGTGTGGGAAGAGGAAGGTGCAACAGGAAAGCGTAGGATGGAATCTGGTGGGAAGCAGCCGGAAGGCAGCCAGGGCAGCGGAGGAGCGTCTCTCTGACCCCCCACATCGGCAGCACCAGGGCAGGCAGCGCATCTTAGGCTCCCGGGAAAGAGACGGGGACAGAACAGGCCACGCTGAGAACTCTGGCGCCACGGATGCACCCCGAGTCCCGACGCGCTTTCCGTTAAAAGCTGTTCCTTTTCTTTTCAGATGTGACTGGGAAAGTGATAGAAGCGCGGTATTTTGATATGTATGAAGGAGGTAAGAAAACTCTTTTCCTGTTAACATTTAAATGAGTTCTAAACATAAATCAAGATTTTAAAAAACACAAGCAAAATTGCCAAACGTTCTTACTAAGTTGTCTGCTAAGAAAACTGCCAGAAGTTCGTGTTGCGTATTCTAGAACGGTCGTCCCTCCATCAGTCCTCTTGGTCTCTGGGTTCATGTCATTCCGTTTGAAGGCATTCGCTAGAAAATTCCTTTCCTCTGGTCACACTTGTCCTGAATCTTCTCCTTCCCTTCCCTCCTTGGATAACGGAAAGAGACAGTTTCAAATCAAATCTTTGTAAAATAATGCAATCAGCATCCGGCCTGAATATCATCGGGATTTCCGTCCTGGGCCTGGTGCCCGCTGGGCCTGTGGGCTCCTTCCCGGGCCCCGCGACCCCCGCTCTCCTTCAGCGTCGCTGCATTCTGGGCACTGGGTCTTGGACATGTTGCCTGTCAGAATATACCATCCCTGAGAGTTGTTAACAAGTCTCTGTAAGAAGAAGGAGAGTCATGAGAAATGCTGTGCCTCTCGGTGGGAATGGTGCATCTTTACTTGGCAGTAACTTCAGCACAACTTGCCGGGGTTCTCATTCCAGCATCTAGAAGGGTTCAGCAACCCGGAGAAGGGGCTGTGCGTAACTTAAAGAGTCCAGAGACGAAATATAATTTTGAAAGGCATTTGGGAGTCAGAGGAGGCTCACTTAAGAAACTAAGATCTCCTTAGTCCAGGGGTGGGCAAACTTTTTGACTCGAGGGCCACAATGGGTTCTTAAACTGGACTGGAGGGCCGGAACAAAAGCATGGATGGAGTGTTTGTGTGAACTAATATAAATTCAAAGTAAACATCTACACTAATAAAAGAGAAAAATGGTAATTGGCGTACGACGCTACCCCTTTCATTGACTAATCAGGGCTATATGCAAATTAACTGCCAACAAAGATGGCGGCTAATTTGCATATGTAGGCACAATGCAGGGAGGCGAAAGGGAAAGCAGGAAGAAGCCCCCTGCCACTGACAGTGATCGGAAACCCAGGGGGGAGCTAAGAGCTGGGGGGCAGGGCAAAGGCAGCCCTGGGGCCGCCTTTGCCCTGCCCCCCAGCCATGATCGGAGAATCAGGCGCCTTTGCCGCCCTGGCCAGTGATAGCAGGAAGTAGAGGGGGAGCCAGCGATGGGAGCTGGGCATGGTCAAAGCTGGCAGTCCCGGGAGCTAGGGGTCCCTTGCCTGGGCCTAAAGCGGAGCCCACGATCACGGGGCCGCTGCAGTTGCGGGTCCCCACTGCCTGGGCCGGACGCCTAGGCCAGAGGCATTAGGCCTGGGCTATGGGCCGATACAGTGATCGGCGATCGGAGGGTGATGAGGGTCAACTGCTCTGGCCGAGGCATCAGGCCTGGGTGGCGGGCGGAGCCGGGGATTGGAGGGATATGATGGTCCCCTTGCCCAGGCCTGAAGCCTGGGTCAGAGGCATCAGGCTTGGGTGGGGGGTGGAGCAAGTGATCAGAGGGAGATGGGGTCCCCTGCCCAGGCATGATTCCTGGGCCAGAGGCCTCAGGCCTGGGCGGGGGCCAGAGCCAGTGATCGGGGGGAGGTGGGGGTCCCCTGTCGAAGCCTGACACCTCTGGCAGAGGCGTCAGGCCTGGGCAAGGGGCCGATCCTGCAATTGGAGGGTGATGGGGGTCAACGCCTGAGGGCTCCCAGTATGTGAGAGGGGGCAGGCTGGGCTGAGGGACACTCCCCTCCCCCCCACACACACACACCCAGTGCACGAATTTCGTGCACCGGGCCCCTAGTCATTACATAAAAGGGTACGGTCTTTTTTTTTTTTTTGGCCTGCGGGGCAAGGCTGCCTTAGTCTCAGGACCCCATGCTTTTTATTAACACAAATTGTCCTGAGGTGAGGTGGAGATACACTTCAAAGGGTCAGGGTTTGGTACAGAGTCCATTGTCAGAATGGGTGAGAATTAGCCTATGGCTGTTCAAGTGTTTGGCCAGTAGGAGGCAATAACATGTAGATTAAGATGCCCTGAGCTGTCTGGCAGCAAACAATCATCCCTTTTCAGGTTTGGGGAAATGCCATCAGCCATTCCCGGATGCAGCCCTGCTGTCATGCTGGAATTGGCTTCCGGCAACAACTATCAGCACCCAGCCCCAGGGGTAAAGAGTAGGGTCAGAGGTTCGCCTTTCTTTTATCCTGTAAGACAGTAGGCAGCCCCCTTAGCCAAGACTTCCCCAGGCAAGGCCCGGTCTGCATTCCTGTCTCTGTCCTGCACATGGGTGCCGGAGCCACTCCGAACTGGGATGCGCACACGTGGGTGGGGGCGCGCTGCCTGTGCCACCAAAGTGGCTGCTGGTGTCGAGTTGATCAGTAGCATCTTCCTGATCCGATCGTGCTCTGACCTCGGACGGTCCCATGTGGAAGCCCAGCAGCTGCGGGCCGTATGCCTGGTCCAGAGAGGAGCTCCAGGAATCAGGATCGCAGTGGCTACGGACGCTGAGGGCAGGGAGGTGCAGCACCTAGGGCGAGAGCCTCAGCCAACAGCACTCCTAAAACTGGTTTGCATTGACCCGACAGATTACTCCGGACCCATGACCAAGTTCATTCAGGGCGCGCCTGCGAAGTCCCTGCTCTTCATGGTGACCCACGATGATGGCAGCAGCCGGTGAGCATGCGTGGCTGTGCCCAGCAGTGACTAGAAATCTGACCCACGCAGCCAGTTTGGGTGCCCTGTCCTCCTATTCACCCCGCCTCCTACACACACCCCGCCCCCCCCCCGCCCCCCGCCCCAGGAAATGAGTGGCTTTGGAGACCTCTGTGCTGGGACAAACACAGTGGGACACACAGGAGTCCCCACGGGAGACATTCAGTCACTCTCCTCTGTCCCCCAGACTGCAGGAGGACGCCAAGAAGACCATAGAAGCGCTTGGAAGCAAAGAAATCAGGAACATACGGTTCAGGTCCAGCTGGGTATTTCTCACAGCGAAGGGCTTTGAACTTCCTGCAGGAATCGAGAGAGAGAAGGTGAGTGGTTGTCGTCACTGTTTTTTAAAAGTATAGTTGGTATACGATATTACATTAGTTTCAGGTGTACAATATAGGGATGCAGCATTTATACACCGAACAATGTGCTCACCACACACAGTCTAGTAACCATCTGTCACTATGCCAACGTACACAGGGTGAGTGGTTTTTAAATGTCCCTTCCCACAGGTGGTTAGGGTAGCAGGGGCTGTCATTTGAAAGGTTGCCAGTCGGTTACAACTCCCCGTCTCTAACTACGTCCCTGCGTAGAGTGTGTGCCGCCAGGGCCATGTGCGGGGTGGGCACCTGGTCTGAGTGCTCGCCCCTCCACTCAGGGCTCCTTGTTCCTACATCTGGGAAAATCCCACCTTCCACTCGGTAGGTGCTGGGTGTGTCATGGGTGAAACCGTCCATGCTGAGAACGGAACCCTTCCCCTTAGATCAGCATTAGATCAGCATTGGGCCTCGGGTTCGATTCCTTGGTTGCAGGCTCCTCCTCCTCGGGCAGGAGACAACCGATGGATGTGTTTCTCTCACATTGATGTTTCTCTCTCTTTCCCTCTCTCTTCCACTCTCCCTAAAAGTCAATGGAAAAATATCCTCGGGTGAGGATTAACAAAACAAAAAAGTAGAAAATGCTTAGTGGGCTGTTGAGACTGATTTTGCATCATGCTGGGGCCAACACAGGCCTCTCTCTGCTTTGCCTCCGTGTGGGGAAGGGAACACTGCTTACTGCTAATGCGGCTCGGAGACCACCGCGCCTGTGCGCCCGAAGCATTTAAAATAGTTTCGCACCAGCTCTAGCCGGTTTGGCTCACTGGGTGGAGCGTTCGCCCGTGGACTGAATGGTCCTGGGTTCGATTCAAGTACCTCAGTTTCAGGCTCCACCCCCGGCCTGGCTGGGGCTTATGCTGGAAGCAACCAATCCATGTGTCTCTGTCACATCAATGTTTCTCCCCCCCCCCCTTTCACGCTCTAACAAATCAATGGATTAACAAAATAAGATGGGAGGGCAGGCACCAAACACCGGATAAAGGCTTTCATTGTAGCTTGTTCATGATTGACTTGAAGGCCTGTCGTTTATCGAAGAAAAGTAAGCAGCAAAGGAATGGCATTCTCATGTGTTAGCTCCACGGCCTGTGAAAGTCGCAGCTGAGGGTTGGGGACCTGTCATGGGATTTATGAGCTGACGCCTCTGGGGACGATGGCACAGCCTCTTTCAGATGGTGCCGCTCTCCGGATCCGGGGCCAAAACACCGGGGCTTCGGAAGTGGGGAGCTGGCTGCCTGCCAAGGGGTGAGCCCTCTGACCCTTCCTGGGCAAAGGGGCTCCTTTCCTGGAGCTAGGAATTCAAAGAGGCAGAGATTTGCGTGTCCACGGGTTGCTTCTGACTCCAGGCGAGGACGTTTGGTCCCAGTCCCCTGCTTGCGCTGTCTGCATGGTGATGGGTCTGGGAAGAAGACAAATAGAAGCCAGCTGGTGTGGCTCAGTGGTTGAGCATTGACCTATGAACCAGGAGGTCAGGGTTCAATTCCCGGTCAGGGCACATGCCCTGGTTGCGGGCTCCATCCCCAGTAGGGGGCGTGCGGGAGGCAGCCGACTGATGATGCTTCCATCTGTCTCTCCCTCTGCCTCTCCCATCCTCTCTGAAATCAATGAAAACATTTTTTAAAGAAACAGAAGCAGATGCGTGGCGGGGCCTCTCCACTGTTGGCAGGACCGCCGAGGTGGGGGAGAAGGGGGCTGGATGGGTGTGATCTCGGTGCAGCCACACAAACAGGTAACTCGTGACAGACGCCCAGGGGAAGCCCTGGCGCTCCTCAGATGCCCTGCAGTCGCCCCGGACTCGGAATCCCTGGGGATTTTAGCAGGCAGCTAAAGTGCACCTTTTCTCCTTATAACTCCCTGTTCCTCCTCCCCCGGGAAGCCAGGAGCATTTACCCGGGGCCCCTGCCCAGACCACCCATTGCTAATGATCGGTTTGGACACCCAGTGTGCTTGAGGCCTCACGGGCTTGTCCTAACGAGTGAGCATGGCCTGGGCTCTGTGTGGTGGCTCTCCCCGGGCCCCACTGCCTGGACCTGCCGGGGGCGAGGGGTGCCAGGTGCGGCTGGGAGAGGGGCTTGGTGTCCAGGGTCAGATTTGCGGGGGCCACAGGTGATGCTGTGCAAGCTGCTTCGCCTCTCTTGGCTTGAGTTTTCTGATCTGTGTAACGAAATGAAAGCTGGGTGATTCTTCAGCTGTGCTGTGGGCATGTGCTCCATTTGCCCTTGGCCTTCCTCAGGCTGCCTCTGTGGAGTGATACAGGGCCACCTTCTCCTCCACCCCTGGCGTGGTCAGTACCAATCTGGCATCTTACGGATCTCCAGCCTTTATCTAATCCAGGCTTTATCTACCGGCTGTGTGGTCTTAGGCAAGTTACTTCACCTCTCTGTGCCTCAGGATCATCCCCTGTGGGGAAGGGGGAAGGCCAGCCCCTATCATATGCGAGTAAATGAGGATGAAGTGAGAGCGACATGTGGGGCTCAGCAAGGAACTGAGCAGAGAGCCCAGTAACCCAGAGCAACCAGGCCTTTCCGGAGCTACCGGCTTCTTCCAACTGGCCCGCCCCACCTGCCCTTCCCCACCTAAGCTCCTTACACAACACCAGTGCCCAGGCCAACTGAGCTGGAACCCCAGAGGCGGGGATTCTGATGTTCAGGGAGGGTGCACCCATCGCACTGATTTTCCTGAGAAAATGGAGACCCCATTTCATGTGCACATTCAAATTCCCCCTTCATAGCCCAGCTGGCTTTTTTATAGAAATTGACAAGTGGATCCTGAAATTCACGTGGAAATTCAAGAGATCCAGATAGCCAAAACAGTCTTGAGAAAGAAGAACTACGTTGAGGACTCACGCTTCCCAATTTCAGAACTCACTACAAAGCCACAGTAATCAAGCCGGTGTGGTACTGGCATACAGCACACATACGGGCCCAGGAAATAGAATCCGGCGTCCAGAGGATCAATGGTCAATGATTTTCGACAAGGCTGCCGAAACCACTGTGTGAGGGAATGATGCCTAGGCAACTGGACACCCACATGCAAAAAAAAAAAAATGAATTTGGAGTCCTACCTCATACCATATGTGGAAATTAAGTCAAAATGGATCAAATGACTAAATATAAGAGCTAGAGTCATTAAACTTGTAGAAGAAAATGAAGCCATAAATCTTTGTGGCCTGGAATTAGGCAATGGTTTCTTAGCTACAATACCAAAAGCATGAACAAAAAAAGAAAAATGAATAAATTGCATTTCATCAAAACTTAACATTTTTGTGCATCAACGGACACCACCAAAAAAAAAGTGAAAAGGAAGAAAAAACATTACAAATGAAGGACTTATACCCACAATGTATAAAGAACTCTTACGGCTCACAATAAAAAGTCAAATAACCTGATTTTAAAGTGGGCAGAGATCTGAATGAACTTATATTCAGGGGACAGTAAACACACAAGAAGATGCTCATAATCGGCCACCAGGACAATGCAAATGGAGGCCTCAGTGAGGTACCACCTCACCCTCATGCGGAGGGCTGTAATTTTTTTAAAAATCGTAAGAAGTGTTTACAAGGATATGGCGAATGTAGAACCTTCAGACACTTTCGAAAAAAAATCTAAAAATACTGCTGCTTTGGGAAATATTCTGACTGTTCCTCAAAAAATTAAGCATGTAGTTACCATGTGACCTAACAATCCCATTCCTAGATATACTGTATACCCAAGAGGGCGAAAACATGTTCACACAAAATCTTGTACATGAATATGCATAGCAGCCTTATTCATAAAAAACAAAAAGTAGGAACAGCCCACATGTCTTATTAATATATAAAAATATATTTTTTAAAATGGGGTATAGCCATACCTGGAATATTATTCAGCCATGTAAAGAAATGAAGTCCTGATACATGCTGCAACATGGATGGACCTTGAAAACATGCTAAGCCAAGAAGACCAAACACAAAAGACCACATACTGCTCATTTCATTTCCTAGAATATGAAATTTCTGGAACAGATGAAACCCATAGAGACAGAAAGTGGACTAGTGAACGCCTAGGGCTGTGGGGACAGGGAATGACTGCATATGGGTCCGTGGTTTCTTTTTCAGGTGAGGAAAATACTCTAAAATGGACCGCGATGGTTGCATATCTGTGAATATACTAAAAACCATTGAAGTGAACACTTGGGGTGTATTTTATAGTATGTAAGTTCTATCTCAAAGATGTTAAATAAAAAAGATAGACAACTAGAATTCCAACATTTGGAATGCATATTATTCCTTCTAAGCATTAAGTTAAGACACTCCATTATCTGCGAAAACTGAAGATATAAAGGACTAACCACGCATCAATACGGACACACATTGCTGAGCTAGGAATTCTGCAGTAACATATTCGAGTAGTCCTACTCCCAAAGAATGAAAACTAAATGTTAGAGCTATGCTGTTCAATACAGCAGCTACGAACCAAATTTGCATTTACCTTTATTAAACTTACTACATTTATTGAATTTGCATTACATTTATTAAAGTTAAATAAAACTTAAAATTCAGTTCCTCACTCACACTGGACACATATCAAGTACTTGATAGCCAAGCATGGCTAGTGGATACTCTATTGGACAGTGTTGATCACAGAACACTTACATCATGGCAGAAAGTTCCGGAGCTTCATTAACACCTGGGTCAAATTGTATTAGGAAGCACGTTGAGAGAAAATCAAGTACCCAGAGTGGGTTGGGGCAAAATCCATTCTAGGAAGTGACTAATCCTAGAAGGGAATTTGTCAGCTATAGGACTTTGCTCATAAATGACACATTAAATATTTGTGGATTAGCAAATAAATACAAGTCTTTTCTTTCCTCTGCACAGATCAACCACTCTGATGCTGCAAAGAACAGATACCCGGGCTGGCCTGCAGAAATACAGATAGACGGCTGTGTACCGAAAGAGCTAAGCTAACATTGTGCAGACTTAATAAATGTGTGTATTTTTATAGACAGATGAATCATGGAATGGCCCACGAATCTTATCAAACAGTCAATATTTGATTTTATGGGTTTTGTCGTCAACCAACCAATATTTGCTACGTGCATGAAATCTTGGCACACAGTATTTTTATGCCATTATTCATACAGTGAAAATATTAATGAGCAGGAAGACTAAAATGAATGGAAATTGTTCAATGAGGGGGTTTAACCTGGAACGGAGAGCGATGGGGAAAGTAACCCCTGCTTGTGAGTGTGGAGTTATTTTAGATCAGATCTAAGCTTGACCCTGTAGTCAGCTCTGCAGAGAGAAAGCCTTGATTCCATGAGCATCGAGCACACCCTCTACGGGACAGTCATCTCCCAGGAGAAGGAGCAATGGTCAGAGGGCGTGGCAAAGCTGCCCTGGTCAGCGCCAGTTGAGCCCTTGAACTCTTCCTGTGGGTGCGTGAACTTACTCTTTTCATGGACAAACCTGGGCACCTCCTGCCTTTGGCCACTGGGGGTGCAGGGACACAGCCTCTGCCTTCCTGCAGGGGTGTCACTGCCAGAGCTCCGAGGGCCTGGAGGGTCTGGCCTCAGGAGGACAACTGCACAGTGCACGCCGGGCTTTCCAGAAGGCGCATCGAGAGCCACATATGGGAGATACGCACGCTCTTAGAAGCGTGTCCCATGATGCATCTGATTTGGGATGGAGACCATCGGGTCATGGCCAAGCCCGGCTACCAGGAAAGCGGGGGACTTTGGTGCCAGGGTAATATCGCTTCTCTGAGCCTCTAGTTCCTCATGTGTAAGGTGGGGGAATTAGGGTAGAAGAATGAGTCCAAGCATTTTTATCAGCAGGATTCCTTTGAAAAACATGGTAGCACATGGCACCCTGGATTTCAGCATCCTGGCCATATCAAACCACCCAACCTCAGTGGCTGACAACAGCGCTGATTTCTCCCTCAGTAGTTACACCTGGGCCACTGGGCAGCTGCGACTGGGCCCTGAGCACTCAGCCAGGCCGGAGGAGGGTCCCCGTCAGGCCCAGAAGCCAGAGAGCAGAATGCACATGCCCAGGGCTCTGTGTGAGCCCCACCTCCTCACACCTGTCGCCAGGCCCAGCCTGGGGCGTGTCCACAGTGTGGCAGTGGGTGCGGTAAGTATCCGTGATACAGGACTACAATGACTGTGGGGTGTGTGTTTTTTTACTTATATTAGCATGCATTTGATTCTGAATTTACTCCCGCGCCATAGTTTTTGCTTCCTCAATTTCTCCCGGGGCATCTTTTTCTTCTCTGCCACCTCCCCTAGTCCAGGAACCACCTGCTCTTTCCAGCGGGATCGTCTCGGGGCGGCAGGGGGAGCTCGGGTGGGTGCATCCGCCCATGAGCTCTGTAAGTTGGGAGCTTTGTCCACCTGGATGTTCTCAATGACCAGAGAATCTACATCTCAACCCTCAAGTCCAGCATTGCTCTCCGCATTGTGAAGCACGTGCAGCAAAAATTCAGCACCCTTTTTGGGCCACCGACCCTGTCCGGCCCCGCTGTTTGGCCTGGGCACACCTACCAGCTCCACCATCGTCAGGACAGAATGGCGCCCATTGCTTCTGAAAAGGGACATCCCTCAGAGACTTGGTGGCTCTTGGATATGCCTACCCTGAGGGCCTGGCCAGTTTCACGAGGGTCCTTACAATGAGCATGAAGATTTGAACCTCCGGATCCGCAGGGGTTTGTGGGGGTTTCTGGGTCAAGCGAAGGGTGAGCCACCTGTAGAGGTCTCCTCTGGCCGTTCAGGAAGAGCAGGAACACAAGGCCTGTGAACCCAGCACAGGGCTGGGGGCCCTGAGGAAGGGGCTGCTGGCCGCCCGGCCTGGGCAGTGGGCCCTCAGGCGCTGGGGCCCCTCCCCGCAGAGCAGTCTGCAGAAGAACGCCTGAGACCTTGGCTCAGGCTCCAGGTGAATCCCATTTTGTTGCCCCAAAATTCTAACCCCCAGCACCTCCAAATGTGACCTTATTCAGAAACAAGGTCCTTGCATTGTAATGAGTGAGAGTAGGGTGGGCCCTGGGCAAAATAATTAGTGTCCTCCTTAATAAAAGGGGAAGTTTGGACATACGGGGAGAAGGCCCCGTGAAGATGAAGGCAGAGATGGGGTGATGCTTCGACAGCCAGGGAACCCCGAGATGGCCAGCAGCCAGCAGGTGCTGGGGGAGGGTGACCGGAGTCCCCTGGAGCCTTCAGAGGGAGCAAGGCCCTGCGCACGCCTGCGTCTTAGACCTCTGCCCTTAGAACAGCAAGAGGATAAATATCCCCTGGCTGTCTCAGCAGCCAGGACACTAAGATCGTTTTCTTTACGTTGTAAACTCTCAGGTGCACAAAGGATTCCTGTATTTAAAAGGGGGGCGGGGGGGCTGGATTGGATCTTTTTATTTACTCCGGCTGGAATGACCACACGTTCATGGCGGTGTTGTCTTAATTCACTGTGAAGCCGCGGGAGCACTCCCAGCCAGCCTGCCCAGGTTCCTGCCCACGCTGGGCCCTCCTGTGACACCCCGGCCCCATCCTGCGACTGCCTTGGGCGCCTGCGCCTCCGCTGCCACTCTCCCTGGTGCGACCCTTAGGACCCCGACCGGTGTGGGCACGGGACTCCGGACTCCGAGTTGCCAGGCCCTGCTTCCCACCTACCTGGGCGCTGGGACTGTCATTCCTGGGCCTGGGACTGTCATTCCTGGGCCTGGGATTGTCATTCCTGGGCCCGGCACTGGGGGGAGCTCTGCACCAGGCCACCTGCTCAGGGGAGCCTGGAACACATCAAACCACAGAGACCGTTTCAAAACTGGCTCCCTCCCTCAGTCGTGGCCCTGGCGACCCTCCTTTTCCAGGTTTGCGCTTTCTACCTAAATGTTCGCTGTATTCCACTAAACACACATGATCAGGAGGATGGCCGCACACCATGATTGGTTTTGAGAGCTCCCGGCTGCGTTGCTGGCGTGTGGTTTAGACGCTGTTCCTGCTACTTCTGTTAGCAGCTGCCTCTGACATTCCTGAACACAGCCATGGGCCATCGCATCACCCCTGCTGGGGCCTCTGCCTTCAGAGCCTGGAGACCACTGTGGGGTGAGGGTGTTCCCCCAGCTCCACTCGGGGCCGCCCCTTCCTGGGGGGCCCTTTGGGCAAGAGTCAGGGGTGGGAAGCTATCTCCTTTCTGGGCTCTGGACCCCTGAGCCCAGCTGGTTGGACAGCCTGAGGCCGTCCCTGGACCAGCAACAGGCTGGAGCTGCACAGAGCAGGTGCGGTGTTGGGGTCCAGCCCCAGCAGGTCCAGGGGTTCCTCAAGGCGTCGGCGAAGAAGGAATGACAGGGAGGCATCATTCAGGTGATCGTCATAGCCAGGTTCCTCCTTTTATTGTCCTCTTACGTCTGTATTTATACTATTTGATCTTAATCCTATCCATTCTATTCCAAAGGTTAGGGCGTTTCTTATCTTCATTCCAAGGTCACTGCTCTATTGTTCTATTAAGCTACAAGCAAGTAACTGAAGGAGATTATTCTAAGTAAAGATTGTTCGTAGTTAAAGTGATTAACTACCCTGGTAGCCTAGCACTTAGTTCAGGGGTTTTACTGATAAAAATCCTCACCTGGGGAAACAACCTTTCTCGGAGAGGTGACCTTGGTTAAAACACATAGCGCTTAAGAAGGGGAGCAAACATATTAAGAACAGTATGCCATATACGCCAGGTCCCTTGAAACATAAGCTGTGCAGATGTTTCTTCCCTGCAGCGACTGCGTCAAGCAGCAAGGGTGGACCAGCTTCCGGCAGTGCGGGGGCTGGTCGGAGGGGACAGGAAGCCATAGTGACCTTCAGGGCAGTGAAACTACTCCGGATGATGCTGTGATGGTGGCCACATGTTTTTAGAGAGGGAGAAAGGGAGAGGGATAGAGAGATAGAACAATGATGAGAAACATGGATCGGCTGCCTCCCGCACACCCCCTACTGGGAATTGAGCCTGCAACCCCAGCAATTGCCCTGACGGGGAGTCGAAAGGTGACCTCTTGGTGCATGGGTCGACGCTCAACCACGGAGTCACACCAGCCAGGCAGTGGCCACATGTTCTTATACATGTCTCCCAAGCCACAGAACGCTCACACCGCAAACGGGGGACTCTGGGCAATGGTGATGAGTCACTGAGGGTCATGGAATGTGACAGGCGCCCTGCCCCGGGCTGCTGACAGAGGGAGGCTGTGCCTGGGTGAGGACAGGGGCTGTACAGGGAAAGCTCTGTGCCTTCTGCTCAATTTTGCAGTGAACCTAAACTGACCTAAAAAATAAAGTCTGTTACTAGTAAGAGAAAAAGTGCTGCCAGGAGAACAAGACTTAGATAGGTAGCAAGCCCGGAGGGTCCCCCACCCCAGGGCAGGCAGAGCTGGTGAAGCTCCCCCCCCCCTCACCCCACAGAAGGCTGCAGACCTCCCTCCCCGTGGTGGGTTCAAGGGAGAGCACGGGGCGGGGCTGGGAGCACCTGCTTCCACAGAGAGAGCAGCCAGGGCCTTGGCTCTCTGCCCTCGGGAAAGGCTGGGAAGACAGGCATCTCCCCGGCCCCTCTCGGTACTTTTGTTACCAAGATTCCTGGACGTTGGACACCACAACATTGATAACAGCATGTTCTTGACTGAGGGAAGGGTGACACCAGCTGAGACACCCTCACCCATGAGCAGGCCCTTGTCTCACTGTAGCCAAAGGCCTGGGCACTGCCAGCCCCCAAGCCAGTCTCTGGTGGGCACCATTCAGGAGGGCTGACAAGACCTTGCCAGCCTGTGATGGCCATGGTCACCCCCACTGGAGCAGGTGGGCACAGAGAGCGAGGGCTCAGTGAGCTTGGACCCCAACGTGCGCTCTCTGCTCTGTGCCCAGCCAGAGCAAACACCCACTGCTAAGATCTCTCGCCCGCCCTCAGGACTCCAGGTCTCCTCCGCCTCATCATCCAGCAAGCGTTGGCCTGTCACCTTTGTGCACTGAGAGCGCAAAAGGGGAAGGAGAGGCCGTTTGAGGTGGGTGCGCTGTGGCTCAGACGCTGGGGCTTGTGAACACACGGGGCAGGCCCGCCCTGCTCACTGATGCTGCGTGCGGTGTGGTGTTCCTTCCCCGGACTTGTCACCCTCCCTCAGCAAGGACCCCGCGTGCAGTGTGACCGTGTGCAGGGGACTCATCCCTCCTGGAGAGGCCGTCGGATGAGGGAGGTGTCCAGGGGAGG